AATGGAGGATTTTTATCGTGCGAGTTGGACAATTCGCCATTTTAAGTCCCATCCGACAGACTGTGTGTTAGTGTGTGTTACTGGTTGTTTGTTAGTAAGGTGCTCGTGCTGACATATTTTCATTGTCCATACGTAAGTTTTTGCTCCATATCGGTTTTCTACTCGTATGATATGCCAAAACACTGAGATAAATTCCCGACTCCAATATGTATTAATTCCCATCTCTCCCTTTTGATCAGTGTACTGTGAAATAATAAATATACATATCTTTAAATGCGATTTTATGTGTTTATCAAATCTTTTCCGATACTGATGAAATAAGAGAAAAGAATATTTTAAGAAGGCAATGAAGCGAACGGAGAAAGTAAATCATGGTACGGGATGTGAGGGACATTAGTAATAGTGTTTTTAAAGTGATCAGTGTAAACTTATATTGTCGGCATCGGAATTATACATTTATCTAAATAAAACATTTCCTCTTCTCTCTCTCTTCCCCCATCTCTCTCTCTAAATAAAACATTTCCTCTTCTCTCTCTCTTCCCCCATCTCTCTCTCTAAATAAAACATTTCTTCTTCTCTCTCTCTTCCCCCATCTCTTTCTCTAAATAAAACATTTCCTCTTCTCTCTCTCTTCCCCCATCTCTCTCTCTAAATAAAACATTTCCTCTTCTCTCTCTCTTCCCCCATCTCTCTCTCTAAATAAAACATTTCTTCTTCTCTCTCTCTTCCCCCATCTCTTTCTCTAAATAAAACATTTCCTCTTCTCTCTCTCTTCCCCATCTCTCTCTCTAAATAAAACATTTCCTCTTCTCTCTCTCTTCCCCATCTCTCTCTCTCTCTAAATAAAACATTTCCTCTTCTCTCTCTCTTCCCCCATCTCTCTCTCTAAATAAAACATTTCCTCTCTCTCTCTCTCTTCCTCTCTCTCTCTAAATAAAACATTTCCTCTTCTCTCTCTCTCTCTCTTCCCCCATCTCTTTCTCTAAATAAAACATTTCCTCTTCTCTCTCTCTTCTCTCTCTCTAAATAAAACATTTCCTCTTCTCTCTCTCTTCCCCATCTCTCTCTCTCTCTAAATCTTTCCTCTCTCTCTCTCTTCCCCCATCTCTCTCTCTAAATAAAACATTTCCTCTTCTCTCTCTCTTCCCCCATCTCTCTCTCTAAATAAAACATTTCCTCTTCTCTCCCCCGCCCCCCCCCCTCTCTCTCTCTTCCCCAATCTCTCTCTCTCTAAATAAAACATTTCCTCTTCTCTCCACCGACCCCCCTTCTCTCTCTCTTCCCCCATCTCTCTCTCTCTAAATAAAACATTTCCTCTTCTCTCCCTCCCCCCTTCTCTCTCTCTCTCCCTCTTAAAATCTCTTCCCATCCCCCCTCAAAAAATGTATATATACAAATATGTCATCTTGTTTATATAAAGTTGCAAAATGTCTAGTGGGAAGGGGCTTCATACAAGTTTGAAAGTTTGTGCCCAATCCTATTGTATATATTGTAACTAGTAAATCATGTTTACATCAAAATCAAATATTAAAAAAGAAACTGAGGGAAAAGTACAATATCACGGAGTCACGGGGAATAAGGATTTTGGCTACGATTTTTCATAATGTTACATTTCATCAAAAAGGTCTGCAGTAATGCATGTAGTCCGCGGTATTCCGTCTCTTTCGGCACACAAACGGCTTCGAAAGATGACCCCGTCCCCTTAACATAAACTTTAGTCTGGTAAATATGCATATCTGAACAAGATCACGTGACGCGTGACATCAACTTCGGCGATAGCGATTCTCCATTTATCAATGAAACTGTCCGTGATTCGCCTTATAATGCACTTCTACCTATGTCAAACTTATATTCACTTAAAAACGTTCATTTAAATGGCATGTAACAATTGGACATGGCTGATTGCAATAACATGATTTATTGTTTATATAACAGTAAAAATACTGCAGTTATTGTAACTTTTTTACCAGATATTTCATGGTGTGAAATTTGGCGATAGCAAATGTACTAAGAATGCCACAATTGTTACCTAAAGTACATTATTGTGTCGCGGCAATCCACACACGGATATACACGTATTCAAACACCACGGAATCAATGGTTATCAATATATAAATTAGAATTCTTAAGGGAAAATAGCCATTTTTTGTCATATTTCAATATGCTCTCAGCAACTGTTAAAGCGACACGTTTCAAGACCAAATCTGATTTTTTAAAAACATGTTTTACTCCAACAATGTTCGAGGTCGAAAACCAGGTTTGCATAGTAAACGAAATTAGCATGTTTTCAATTCAAGCTTTATCGAGGTTTTTACACGTGATAAAATACTGACCGTTGACTCGCATTGTTAAGGTCATACTGTCCGGCTACAGTTGACCATTTACTAAGTCATTTCGAGGTCAATGTTGAAATCTTGAAATCTGCAGACCTGAAATGACGAGAGGTCTATGCCTTAACGATCGTCTGGATATGAAGGCCTTTAGATATAATAAAAGCAGCAGTATTAAAGTGAACAGGTATTGAAAAATTGAAACAATTTTAGCAATAAGGTTACAAAAACAGCAACGCAGTTCAATTGAATTTCTCCATACCAGCTCCATGACGGCAATGTTGGACTTTAGGCGGACCCGAAATTTAAAAAAAACACTTGTTTAATATCATTTTAGGGTCATTTCAGGCAATTTGAGATTAATCCCAATTGTAGAATTAGAGAAATTTTAAATGCGTTTTTCAAGATGGCGGTTATGGTGGCCATCTTGGATTATGGACCTCCTAAAAACACATGGTCAGTACAATCACAGGATCATTCATGGAAAGATTCAAATCAATCCAACTTGTGGAACTTGAGAAGTTTGAAATACGTGTTGTTTAAGAAAACCAGAATTTCGCAATCATGTCGCAAAATGAGCGCCATGACTGCCACGTTGTTCTCTTGATGAGGCCGAAAATGAAAAACATCTTCCTTTCTTTTAACATTTCCGTCAATTGGACTGGAAAAGTTTAAGATAGTATCCAACTTGACGGCCATGGCGGCCATCTTGGATTTCGGAACCTGAAAAATAAAAACACTTCGTCAAGACCATCTCAGGATCTTAAGATAAATTCCACTTGATGAAAATTAAAATAGGTTGGTCCAGAAATCACGAATGCACAATCATATTCCAAAATAGCCACCGAGGTCGATATTATATCAAACTTTTGAAGGGAAAAGAAAATTATAAAGTTTTGTTTTTTTCTTCAATATCCTCAAACATTTTTAGCTCAATGGCACTAGTGGAACTTGAGAAGAAGTTTAAAATGTGTTTTAAGGATAGTGGTCATGGTAGCCATCTTGAATAGTGGACTTGTCCTAAAAATAAGAACATTTGGTTAGCACCATCTCAGAATCATTCATTGCATTGTTGTTTACTGAAAACTAGTATAAAACAAAGAATCTGATTGGCCCGAAAATCTCCCAGGTGAAGGTCATATTCGTAATGACCGATATAAGGACTGAGGAATACCTTCGTTATATAAGGGGACACAGTATCCGTGGTTTGTGTTTCATAGAATCCGTGAACATTCCAGGGGACGTAACTCTAACATAACAGCATACATAATGCAGTGCGACTCTCAGGAAATAATGGGAATACGTATCTAGTTAAAACGAGAACTTAAATTAGCTTAAAATATCATCGACCTTTCTGTTAGTACAATGTGAAATTGATTTTAATACTGCCAAACATGTATGTAAACAACAATATAGGTCTTTTAATTGTAGACGACCTTAACGTTACAAAAAACCCATTAAGTTTCCGTTAAATATCAATATTAGGCTATTGTCAAAAGCAAATATCATATCAATAACTAGCCAAACTACCTATAATTACGAATAAAAAAACATACATTATCTGTATTGTTAACGTTTCCATCACATGAAAAATACATATTTATCAATACACTACACACATACACACACACCCCACACAAACATATATATTTAATTGTAGTTTTTTCAATCCTAGTTTGTTCTATTTGTGTAATTTGAAATAGAGCGGTGGTTTTATATATCGAGCGTTTATGGTGTTGTGTGTGGAAATTCAAATTGGCTTAAAAAAACAACCCATACAAAAGCAAGCTGCATATGTCATCGCCGTAAATAGCTGGTCATTAGAACTGTTGTCACAGCACGAAATAAGAGCATCTGACCCGTTAATTGGTATAATTTGGTTTTAGTTAAATCATACTTGAATGTTTATGTTATGTCCCTTAAAATACTGTATAAACAATTTGAGCGAAGTCATGGAAGAAGATACATACTGTGAGGTAAAGATAAATAAAAATTGATATTGATTTGTTTTTATAAGAGTTATCTTTCTTGCTTCGTAGGCGCCCTTTCGATTACGGTAAACTTGGCTCTGAAACTGGTATGTGATTCAGCATATCATAATGTCATGATCACGGTTGTTTCCCCTGTGTTTTTTTTGTGTGAAAGGTTTTATTAGTGGTAGTGTGTGGGTTGAGTGTTTGGGTGTGTGTGGGTGGGTGTGGGTGGGTGTGGCTGTCTGGGGATGTGGGGAGGGGGTGGGGGGTTACCACAAACACAGATCTAGGCAATTTTCAGATGCAAATGTATTAAATAATTGAAACAAAACTATCACATGGATGAAGCGGATTGAAGAATTGAAGAGAAAAAATTGAGATTCGAATAACGAATCCGCTGCTTATTTCAGGCTCATGATACAGGAGCATAGAAAAAAGATTTATCTCTGCTTTGAAATATAGAGAGAAATCATGTGGTATCGACAGCTTTTCTTAAAATTTACAATTTCTGTCTATAAATCGAACTGATGGCAAGGAGTTGTAACATCAGTTATCATTATGAAAATAAACGTCTGTTGATGTTTGTGCTAAACGTTTGATACAGCACAGCGACCATGTCAGTGGAATATTCACCTAAATGAGAATATGGACTAAAACAGGTATTCAAACAATTTGACGATTTGTGTGTCTGTTTCAGGTTACGGACACATTGCGCCTAAGACATTCTGGGGCCGACTGGTGTGTATCGCCTATGCTGTCTTGGGCATCCCTCTCATGTTACTGTGTCTGGCCAACATCGGGGACGTATTAGCAGATATCTTCAGATTCATTTACGCCAAGATATGTTGTTGTGGATGCTGCAGACGCAAAGACAAAACTAAAGTCGTACAGATCAAACCTGTGGCCAAGGAACCGGAAGGAGCATGGCGAAGCGACAAAACTGGAAACATTGTAATTCCAAAAGCACCGCCCATGCAACACGAGTTTAGCAAGATACCTCCAAAAACACCCGACAGCATGAAGGGTATGACAAACGGCCACCCAGATGACGTCAAACCTGTCCGAATCATTCCAATGGATGTTAAGTCGTACAACACTAAGCACGAACCCCAAAGACCAATGCCTGTACGTAATGATCCTGCTCTTGACGACGACAGCGATGACGAAGATGACGATTTCGACGAGAAAAAGATCACGGTTCCACTTACCGTAACTATGGTTGTAATTGCTGGATACATCTTCGGTGGTGCCGTCCTCTTTGGATTGTGGGAGAGCTGGGATTGGCTGCAGTCTGCTTACTTCTGCTTTATAACACTCAGCACAATTGGCTTCGGTGACGTAGTTCCAGGAACTGATTTCGACAATCCCCAGGCGCAGGCGCAACTCGTTCTTGGTGCCATCTATGTCCTGTTCGGAATGGCGATCTTATCCATGTGTTTCTCTCTCATGCAGGATGAGATTATCGCAAAATGTAAATGGGTTGGACAGAAATTGGGCATCTTAGATAAAAATGATGACGAGTAGTTCGTGAAGAAATACGAAAAAGTGCTGATAATATTCATTAAAAATTCATATATTTTCATAAAACATCTACATCTCGTGCTAGAGGATAGCTTTAATGTTTCGTGTTGTCGTTTTGTAGAATTAGTAACAAAATCATTTTATATCAGGAAAAATAAATACTTTTCAGATCATAAACTTACAGGGAAAAACCATAAATATAAAGAAGTAATAAATTATTTTTGTGCAAATGTGTGTCAGCAAATGAAAACGATCAAAGCCAGTTTGCTTGAAAATAATTTTACAATGTTTGTTTACAATATTTGATACCATCTTTATGTAAATGTAATGATAAACAATGTTGTCAAAAACGTGTTGGACCACAAAAACCATGGTTGTCAAAAGTACCTTTCTGCTTTTATTAATTCGGTGTTTGTTTTGTGGTTATATCTAAAAGATAAGTATTGTATATTGTACATTATCAATATTGTATTGCAGCACCTACAAAAAAGTGCACAATTGACGTGACATGTGTCAAGAATTCTATGCTGTCACGTGCCTTGTACAAGGTCTATATTATCTTTTTACATAACACTCATACACAATCGATTAGCTCATTTAAATATTTGGTGATCGCAGTAATTGAAATAAAGAAAGGTAAACTAGATAATTAAGATGAAAATAAGGGACAATTCGACCTGGGCATGATCATGATTTTGTGATGATAAATTATACTATTAATGAATCTTTTAAACTTTAAACTATTTAAACTTTAAAATGTATATTTATTTTTGAAACCTAATTGGGCATTGATTCTATTGATTAGAAAGCTGGTTCCCAAAGAAATTTTGGAAGAATTAGTGTATTCGACTAGGAGAAAAGTACGTAACTTTATAAAACACATATATTAGCAGCTTTGCTAAATATACACTATTTTGTTCGGCTAAATATATACCTTTTGGCAAAACAAGCCTACTTTACAGATAACGTCTTACTTGAATAACAATACTTAGCATAAAATACCCGTTTATTTAGGAAGGTATAGTTACAATCATGTTGAATGATGATAAGTCACATTAAATGATAAAGAAATTAAATTTCTTACGTCATCAACATTTGTGTAAACATATTAACATTTCAAGTAAGAATTATTTCTTTAAAGTAACCCCATCCCAACTAAAAAAAGTTAAATGATAAAGATAAATAAAGTCGAAGCCAAAATACACGATAAGACTTACTCTGTACTCTGTGAATTAAAATTGATATTAAGATATATTGTGATAATTAAGAAAAAGGTATGTAAAAAGGTCCACATTGGGTTGGGGTAACGATCAGAACGTATGGACATCTGTACGGAATGGTCATAGAATTATCCACACCACGTAACAAAGGGAGATAATTTCCTAACAACGACGAATGAATTGATAATAAAAATAGTTTCGCAAAATACTAACTGCACGGTGCAGCAGGAACTACAATGAACAGTGACAATTTTCAGTTTTGCTGAAAACTTGATGGAAAATAACTCAGCAACATTCGTTATTTGGTTGAAAAGCTGACAATGGTACATTGATGCAGTCCCTGTGGCGGGTTCCATGCCTGTTTCTCAAGAGTACTTGTCGAAAGGCATATGGAAAATGAGTAGACGAATTGGTCAATCCCGATCACGTGACGATTGGAACCAATGATTACATACATCACAGGTAAGACTAATACAGCTTTATTCTATTTCAATACAATTCCTTCTATTTACAACGACAAACTTCTTTACATTTTGTGATTGCCTAGAATATCCTGTATTTTTAATATTGAACGTTTTAACCTCTTCATATAAAATACTGCTGTGTAAATGAAAGCTGCTGTCGTGGAGTCATCCTCCTTATCAATAAAAAAGTTAATTAAAAATTAATCAACATTTCCTATTTCTCATTGGCTGACCGCAACGACCTTCACCCGAACCGAAACGGCTGTCACAGATATTGTCAATACATCGTAGTTTATTTATATTCCTACAAAAATGTAAAAAAAAATTATCCAAACGGTCAAAGACTAGTTAATGTCTTTTATCAGAACTTGTTTTGTCCCATATCCCGCCCTTCACTGCGTTTCATGACATTGATACGAAAATTTCAAATTTACGATTTCTTACACTTTCAACCGGAAATAGGATGACCGGAAGTAGGGACATTGAAGAAATAATCTAGGTGTTTTTACACTTATTTCAGTAATTTTTCAACTTAACGACAGATAGAAATTGGTCAATATCATGGTTTTCTGGTTTCTTTTGAGAAGTCCCTTTAAATATGATTCGAGATGCAGTAGCAATATACTGCTTTATTCGTCCTTCAAGGAATCGTCAGTGATCTAAAGATCCTAAATTTTGCGACTGAGAAAAATTGATAGAAAGGAATGTAAAATTAACTGCGTAATTTTCATACATGTAATCATTTCAAGAGAACGTCAAGTTTACTAAGAATGAATTACCAGTAAACGTGACACGCAGAAATGTGTTTTGGGGTTCTGTCGAAAGCAGTGTATCTCATATTATTAATTAATTCTTGGTCCTGGTAGAGTAATTTACAATTAATCAAGTGAAAAGGGTAAAACACAGTACAGAGTCACTCATGTGGTAACCAATATATATTCTACCTTATTGTTAGTGGCGAGTGTTTCCCACCACAGTATATAAAGTTATATTGATCTACGCCACGACAGACAACACAGACATCACCACTTGTCGGCGGCCTGAATAACCATATGGTTAAAATATACTAACATATGTTAGATAGTTTACGTGTATGTGGGTGTGTGTGTGCTCCATTTAGAAAAATGTTTCCAATTTGATAATTGTTCTGTAAATATAATAATATGTATGTAGGAAGGAGTTCTTTTTGTTGGGGATTCAAATATATAGATAACGTAGAGTCAAAATACATCAAGTTAATCAAGTTATCAAGATACTGAAGTGAAGTGTTAAGTAAATAGAATACACGAATATAGAAATAAAATATATCAAAATGAAACAGGAGTGAATAAATGAATGATTACATCGTAATTACTAGTACCGGTTTTGTTAATATGAATTATGACGTGTGTAAAATAATTCTTTCAATGCAACACTCGAACTATTCTGATAATTAAATAGGCATTTCCAATGTGTGGCTAATGCCATCGAAATGGATAAAGTATGACACTTCAATCAATACACAACAACAACCGATCCGCTCGATAGCTTCCATGTTATTTAAAACTTCCGGTAAGCGAAACAAACCGAAGCCACTTACCGGAAGCAGAGGAAGACACCAACTGGTTTAACCAGATTAAGTCACATGAAAGGAAGTTTATTGGAGTGATCTACTGGGGGAATTTAGTCCGAGCGTTCAGAGTCAAACAAGTAAACCACCTACTAAGAGGGAGACAGTTTTTTTAATATTAAATTAAGTGTGTGTGTACTGATTCAATATTTCAATAATTAGGAAATAGATATAGGCATTCATGTCATAACCTATCAGATAAATGTCGTATGTCTGTAGACCGAAGCTAGACATCACCAGACAATCCATGTATGACTGTCGTATGTCTGTAGACCAGAGGTAGACATCACCAGACAGTCCATGTATATCTGTCGTATGTCTGTAGACCAGAGCTAGACATCACCAGACAATCCATGTATGACTGTCGTATGTCTGTAGACCGGAGCTAGACATCACCAGACTGTCCATGTATGACTGTCGTATGTCTGTAGACCAGAGCTAGACATCACCAGACAATCCATGTATGACTGTCGTATGTCTGTAGACCAGAGCTAGACATCACCAGACAGTCCATGTATATCTGTCGTATGTCTGTAGACCAGAGCTAGACATCACCAGACAATCCATGTATGACTGTCGTATGTCTGTAGACCAGAGCTAGACATCACCAGACTGTCCATGTATGTCTGTCGTATGTCTGTAGACCGGAGCTAGACATCACCAGACTGTCCATGTATGACTGTCGTATGTCTGTAGACCGGAGCTAGACATCACCAGACTGTTCATGTATGACTGTCGTATATCTATAGACCAGAGCTAGACATCACCAGACAGTCCATGTATGACTGTCGTATGTCTGTAGACCGGAGCTAGACATCACCAGACAGTCCATGTATGACTACCGTATGTCTGTAGACCGGAGCTAGACATCACCAGACAGTCCATGTATGATTGTCGTATGTCTATAGACCAGAGCTAGACATCACCAGACTGTCCATGTATGACTGTCGTATGTCTGTAGACCGGAGCTAGACATCACCAGACTGTCCATGTATGACTGTCGTATGTCTGTAGACCAGAGCTAGACATCACCAGACAATCCATGTATGACTGTCGTATGTCTGTAGACCAGAGCTAGACATCACCAGACAGTCCATGTATATCTGTCGTATGTCTGTAGACCAGAGCTAGACATCACCAGACAATCCATGTATGACTGTCGTATGTCTGTAGACCAGAGCTAGACATCACCAGACTGTCCATGTATGTCTGTCGTATGTCTGTAGACCGGAGCTAGACATCACCAGACTGTCCATGTATGACTGTCGTATGTCTGTAGACCGGAGCTAGACATCACCAGACTGTTCATGTATGACTGTCGTATATCTATAGACCAGAGCTAGACATCACCAGACAGTCCATGTATGACTGTCGTATGTCTGTAGACCGGAGCTAGACATCACCAGACAGTCCATGTATGACTACCGTATGTCTGTAGACCGGAGCTAGACATCACCAGACAATCCATGTATGACTGTCGTATGCCTGTAGACCGGAGCTAGACATCACCAGACAGTCCATGTATGACTGTCGTATGTCTGTAGACCAGGGCTGGACATCACCAGACAATCCATGTATGACTGTCGTATGTCTGTAGACGGGAGCTAGACATCACCAGACAGTCCATGTGTGACTGTCGTATGTCTGTACGCCGGAGCTAGACATCACCAGACAGTCCATGTATGACTGTCGTGTGTCTGTAGGCCGGAGCTAGACATCACCAGACAGTCTATGTATGTCTGTCGTATATCTGTAGACCAGGGCTAGACATCATCAGACTGTTCATGTATGTCTGTCGTATATCTGTAGGCCGGAGCTAGACATCACCAGACAATCCATGTATGACTGTCGTATGTCTGTAGACGGGAGCTAGACATCACCAGACAGTCCATGTGTGACTGTCGTATGTCTGTAGGCCGGAGCTAGACATCACCAGACAGTCCATGTATGACTGTCGTATATCTTTAGTCCGGAGATAGACATCACCAGACAGTCCATGTATGACTGTCGTATGTCTGTAGGCGGGAGCTAGACATCACCAGACAGTCCATGTATGACTGTCGTATGTCTGTAGACCGGAGCTAGACATCACCAGACAATCCATGTATGACTGTCGTATGTCTGTAGACCGGAGCTAGACATCACCAGACAGTCCATGTATGACTGTCGTATGTCTGTAGACCAGGGCTGGACATCACCAGACAATCCATGTATGACTGTCGTATGTCTGTAGACGGGAGCTAGACATCACCAGACAGTCCATGTGTGACTGTCGTTTGTCTGTACGCCGGAGCTAGACATCACCAGACAGTCCATGTATGACTGTCGTGTGTCTGTAGGCCGGAGCTAGACATCACCAGACAGTCTATGTATGTCTGTCGTATATCTGTAGACCAGGGCTAGACATCACCAGACTGTTCATGTATGTCTGTCGTATATCTGTAGGCCGGAGCTAGACATCACCAGACAATCCATGTATGACTGTCGTATGTCTGTTGACGGGAGCTAGACATCACCAGACAGTCCATGTGTGACTGTCGTATGTCTGTAGGCCGGAGCTAGACATCACCAGACAGTCCATGTATGACTGTCGTATATCTTTAGTCCGGAGATAGACATCACCAGACAGTCCATGTATGACTGTCGTATGTCTGTAGACCGGAGCTAGACATCACCAGACAGTCCATGTATGACTGTCGTATGTCTGTAGGCCGGAGCTAGACATCACCAGACAGTCCATGTATGACTGTCGTATATCTTTAGTCCGGAGATAGACATCACCAGACAGTCCATGTATGACTGTCGTATGTCTGTAGACCGGAGCTAGACATCACCAGACAGTCCATGTATGACTGTCGTATGTCTGTAGGCCGGAGCTAGACATCACCAGACAGTCCATGTATGTCTGTCGTATATCTGTAGACCAGGGCTAGACATCACCAGACTGTTTATGTGTGACTGTCGTATGTCTGTAGGCCGGAGCTAGACATCACCAGACAGTCCATGTATGTCTGTCGTATATCTGTAGACCAGGGCTAGACATCACCAGACTGTTTATGTGTGACTGTCGTATGTCTGTAGGCCGGAGCTAGACATCACCAGACAGTCCATGTATGTCTGTCGTATATCTGTAGACCAGGGCTAGACATCACCAGACTGTTTATGTGTGACTGTCGTATGTCTGTAGGCCGTAGCTAGACATCACCAGACAGTCCATGTATGTCTGTCGTATATCTGTAGGCCGGAGCTAGACATCGCCAGACAGTCCATGTATGACTGTCGTATATCTTTAGACCGGAACTAATCATCACAAGTTGACAATGGTTAGTTTTGTGTTTTTCTGTCAATAACGAAGAGACATTGTGTGATGATATTTGTTCAGTTGTATACTGCGATGAATTGCCATCGATAGAAAGAAATATGTTATGTTCCAACTGGCGGTTTTCGGTAGTGCTAATTTGGTAACAAACTTTGAAAAAAGAACTTCCCCTCATGTTGTGGAAGGTTGAATGTGATTAATGATCTGTACTTATTTCCAAGGTCATAATGGTCAATTTTGTTAAAAGATTTCAATGTTTTATTTTTCTCTCTTTCAACAACCAAGTAGCACAGGCCGATGAAAAATGGTCAGTTGTACACCATGAATTGCTATCGAGAGTAACTCGAATAAAAATGTGTAAAGTGTCAACTTCCGGTTTTCGGCAGAGGTAAAATTTCAGAAGGCTTTTTTAGGTAACAATCTTTAAAGTTTGTTCTGAGGTTCAACCGTTGGGATCCAACTTGTCCAAAATGATTCTGAGATAGTCCTGACCAAGTATTACTATTTTTCTTTTCCAGTTCGACTGGTGCCATCGTATTGAAAATATTTATGAATGTTAAAAGTTATTCGAATGTTGATAACACTTGAACCTATAAATGTCTGATGGTTTTAAAAAACCTGTCAAATTGTCTATGACAACTTCTAGTCTATTTCTTTGACATGTTTGCTCCAATCGTTACCTACAGATTGTATATAGTTCACTACAACATAGATATCGATGTAATTACATTGTTGTATGGGCGTCGTCAAGTGAACGCGTCCGCCTTTTTTGTATCCGCAATAGTTCTATAGTTTCCTATTGAAAATCAATAACGTGAATGAAGATCGTTCTTATGCCTAGTCTGTTCTGTGGTCTGATCTTTAAACCTTAAAACTGTGATACAATCGGCGGTTTTCAGTCTATATCCAACAGAAACAAAGGAAATTAAATATGATGTATTTAAGATACTGATGTTGTAAATTGAATTCAGTTTGGTCCCGTTCCTTTCATACCTATATAAATATAAAGTACTCTTTATTGATACCATTTGGTTCTCTTACAAGATGTACGAATATTAGAACGGGATAAATCTGACATAAAACCAATATTATATGACACATATCAGCCGATCTCAAATTGAAATGATAAAAACTCTTTCGAACTTTGAACCAGGTTAGACAACAAACAAATCATAAAAGTCAATAAAAGAGCTGAAGTCGAGAAAATACAATAATAGCAAGTCGAATGAAATTAATTGACCAAAATCAACCTAAATTACGTTCCTGAGGAAAAATTCACCCAAAGGACATGGAGAGGATCACCTCAAATGATGTTATTCATGTGTAAACTTCACCCACAGTGTGTTAATCACAGGGAAAACAGACACCATGAACATTATGTCTGGAAATTCAATTAAGAAACGTTATTTCAGGAGATAAATACACCCAAGAACATTAGCCATCGGGAAATTTGCCCAAGAACGTTGGCCATGAGAAAAATAACCTAAAGCGATATCATCTCTGGTAAAAAAAACTTCACAGCACATAAATCAAAGGGAAAAAACACCCCAAGGACGTTATTCCAGTAGAAAAAACACCCCAAGGACGTTATTCCCGGAGAAAAAACACCCCAAGGATGTTATTCCAGTAGAAAAAACATCCCAAGGACGTTATTCCCGGAGAAAAAACACCCAAAGGATGTTATTCCAGTAGAAAAAAACACCCCAAGGATGTTATTCCAGTAGAAAAAACACCCCAAAGACGTTATTCCAGTAGAAAAAACACCCAAAGGATGTTATTCCAGTAGAAAAAACACCCCAAGGACGTTATTCCAGTAGAAAAAACACCCCAAGGATGTTATTCCTGGAGAAAAAACACCCAAAGGATGTTATTCCAGTAGAAAAAACACCCCAAGGATGTTATTCCAGTAGAAAAAAACACCCCAAGGATGTTATTCCTGGAGAAAAATCACAACAAGGATGTTATTCCAGGATAAATATAATCCCAATGACCCTATTCCTAGAGAAAATTATCACCCCGAGGACGTTATTCCTGTAGGAAAATAACCCCAAGGATGTTATTCCCAAAGAAACAACACCCCAGGGATGTTATTCCTGAAGAAACAACACCCCAGGGATGTTATTCCTGAAGAAACATAACCCCAAAGAGTTTATTCCCGGAAAAAAATTACCCCAAAGATTTTATCCCAAGAGAAATATCACCCCAAAGGATGTTATTCCTTGGGAAAATCGCTCCAAATGACGTCATTCCTTGGGGAAATCGCTCCAAATGACGTCATTCCTTGGGAAAATCGCTCCAAATGACGTCATTCCTTGGGAAAATCGCTCCAAATGACGTCATTCCTTGGGGAAATCGTTCCAAATGACGTCATTCCCATGGACAATGAACACAAAGGACGTTGTACCAGGAGAACTATTGTTCAGTACAAAAGGCACACATTGAACCTTTCAATACAAATCTAGAGTAAGATACAGAAGAGTCGAATAAGACCAAAAAATCCTCGAAAAGGACGACATTCCTGGGGGGAAATCATCCCCAAATCCCATCTCTCCTGGGCGAAAACGTAGAACTTATTATAACAATTACAAGGATTTGCACAATGTGCTTGATACTTGATACAAAACATCGATTGTTATTTTCCCAGGTCATCATTATCAAAAGGTGAACAAACTCACAGGGGAGCAAATTCAATACTTCGTGTAAACAACATTCTGTTATTTCAGAAGTGATATGGAGGCCGTTTTTACCACTAAAGCAAAACTGGAGAATTCCCTGACTAATGTTTCGTTATATAGAAAAGAAGGAAATTCAGCGAACCATCACTGAGTCATGTTGACACGTCCCGTGCCTCCGGATGCTTTCAATTATTGATTGATGGATGGCAATTTCCTTAGGTAATCTAACAACATTCAATACAATATCGTTTGTTGGAATATCTATGACATCCCAAAGCGTATCGTACTGTGGAATGGTTCAGAGAGCTGACATATTATAAAATATAGAATTGTTTAAGTGTGGAGTCTGAAATCGATGGTAAATTTGTGATGTTTTCGAATGTATAATTTAATAATTTATCAAACCTGAATAGAACTACCAATGCCGATCAATGTTTTCCAGGGTGTCCCATGTCAACCGAATCGCTGACGAGAGGCAAGCAGACGTAGATACATACGTGGCTGGGTGGCGGGAATACACACGCGCAGGTGTAGGCCAGGTGTATTGAGTTGCGGTGTTGCTCGTCTTCGTCTCCGGCTTCATCTGTCGGTATCAATATGTAGGACCTATTTGGAAAGAAGATACCTCAAATAATTATTGTTATATCATCTAGTGAAGATTACAAACGAAAACAACGATAGTTTAACGTGGTGAATTATCCATCATGGGTAAACAAGACAAGGGAGGATGGTGTCGCACCATCATGAAGATTATGTTCTCCCATGTCGGACTGTGTGGTTTGGTAGCTCTTTATTGTGCCGCTGGAGGATTCATCTTCGAACATCTCGAAAAGTCCAACGAAGAACAGATCTGCTATGACACTTACAAGGAATACATTGTAATGGAAAATGACTCTCTCTCCAAGATACAACAGTTAGTGGAAGACTACGAAGGCAATCCGGACAAATCTACATTGAAGTTCCAGCTGCAAGGAATCCTACAGATCTATCGCGACAACAGTATTAACATTGGTTATGACGGCGGGAACTGCTCCGCTTACGGACTGGAGGACGGACCAAAGTACAAATGGTCTTGGTCAGGAGCATTCTTCTTCTCTGTTACTGTGATCTCGACCATCGGTGAGTGACACCTACAGCGGGCTTCCTTTTCTTGTCTAACCCAATGCTTGCCATTTATAATCATCTGTCTTTGAACGACCACGTACCAGTTTCCGTTAGTTTGACATTCTTCACTGTAGCGATTAGTTACCTAGACTTGTACATAATTCTCTTCTTATTTTGACATAATTGGCTTTCATGAATCAACTTGATTTCGTTTATTTGATACATTGAACTGTATTCTATAGTACTTAGCTTTTGCTCTACATATTTTAACTCGCTGCATGCGGTTAATTTTGAGATGTATAGGTAACTTTATAACCTCACAGGACGTACATTTTTATTTCTGATTTCTCTCTGGCCAGTGAAGGAAAGCGAGATTAATATACCTTCACAAGTATATTATGTATATCATAAATATCATACTTTAGTGATGAAATAACCTTTTTTTCTTTATGTTTACAAAGGCACAGGTAGATCGTGTATTCAGCGTTTTTGCGCGGTAAAACCTTGCTCAATTAAGGGGAATTCCGATTATCATATTCTGCACTATTTTCCCCCAACGAGTTTCCCTAAAATGTTAACATTTTAAAAATAAATAGGACATAATAAATCTCTCCTCTCTTTAAAGAAAATGCAATCTAGTATGCGTGATAGATAATAGATCCTGCTCTTTTCTTACACCTGGAAATACAGGTGAAACAATGGCAGAAGAGATCTGTAATTAGCCAATCCATGAAAAGAACAGTAAAACATGTTTTCTTCTCAATTTGATAAGAATTCGATATGGTTGTAGAACAGGATTTAATATGCCATATCAACGTTGTGTATAATGCAGATCAAATCTTGATATGTATGCAGATAATTTATTTATAGTGACATATTTAGAAACATTTTAAAATGAAGCGATGCACACCAAAAAGTAGTTACTTTAATTTTCATCGCACTTCAAAAAAACCGACACACTGGAACATGAATTGTCGACTTCTGATACCCAGTTTCATCGATTGTAATCCAAATTGATTTGTTGTCTTTTGTCAAACCCCTCCCTCTTCATGGATGTAGCAATGACATATGTGTTACCTTTTGTTTGATTTCATCAGTGTTTCTAAAATATTCTGGTATGTGGCATTTGAAGAGGAAATGGAAAACACTTTAATTCAGTGTCGGTTAAGTAAATTGCACAAGAAAACTCCGGATACCACGGAATCTTATAAAAAAAAAACATTCGTATAACGATTAAGTGTAACACAGAAGGCATTATGAAAAAGATATCAGAAAAAATGGACAACAAATTTCAAATTAGGACTGATACGTATGAAGGCCAATCTTACTGACATTTGATGTCCTAAACTTCAGACGATATCTCCATCAAATAATGACATAACTGATGAAGCTGATAAATCGAATACATCCTAAACTTTAGTTTTCCATTGGCAAGAGATCTGATGAAAATAAGCACTATCTCCAGAATTTCCAACGATAACTCTTTTTATCAACATTTATCTACCCAACAAGAGAGATGTATCCTTACCTTCAGGGGGTATTTTGTTTCATCATTGAGATTTCTTATAAAACTAATTGGATGTTAAGTACACTGCATGTGACATATCTTGACATAAATAAATTATCTGATGAACTTTTGGGATACATCCTTTAGGTCAGTCGAGACCTTTCGCAATTAATGAGATATCCGATAATCTGAGAAGAATCCTAAATTCTTCAATTAAGCCGTTTCCGTATAAGCGATGTCTGATTAACAATAGGGATATATCATATTTCATTTCAAGGCATCTCTAAACCATTTCTTTTATTTTTATCTGTTTCTTTCCGATAAATCTCCCGTTTAAAGACTTCTCTGTTACATTTTAAAACGTGTGTGTTCTTTGAGTTATATATATATATATATATATATTTTTAAATCGGTATAATTCTACCTTCAGATATCTCTGAAATATCTTGAATACCTTTACACGCTCTTCAATGTTTCGCTCTGTTTAGCTCTCTTATCGTAACGAAAATGGTTTTAAAGGCAATTATTTAGGTTCACCATGTAGTTCGCATCATGCCATAACGGTTACACGAAACTTGCATCGTAACCAAGCCGAGTTAATTCACGATATTACGAATCAATATCTTTGTACTTAAAAACAAGTGTTATTGCATCATTGCTGTAGCACTTTACGTTTCATTCACTTATCTCAAATAATGGTTTCAATATATGGTTTCCATAAAAACACAACATTTTCATCGATGTATTCTACTGAGTGACGCAAATTTCCCATATCGGTTTACGCTACAAAGGATTAACCTTATCGCACTCGATATCATTACATAGATCTGTGGTAAAATGTTTCTCTTTGCTGTTTTAGACAATGATATAACAACATATGGTAGGAAATCGATGCAAACAGTGGCCATATCGAAAGTGATATCAATTTATTATGTGTCATTTTTAGATTTAATATTTTAGGATCGTTATTTGAAGTAGAATGATAGTATACAGTAGACGTCTCATCATTTTTACTTAATGATTTCATTTCAACCGCGACTGGATTCATTTGAAATACGATTAAAATTGAAGTTGACTGCTCATTTATCGCCCCCAACCTTCCCCTGAACACATCTTGATTAATTTTCGGCGAGTACCAAACGATGTAAAATGTTTTTGACCAAGCTGATGACAATATTCCTATTGACGGCATCATAAGCTGGCAAATCATTAAAGCGGCTATTACTTAGATCTCAACATCGGGAAATGGAAAATTCGGCTATGAATAATAAAATATATCCATAATAAAGCGATACACGCGCCTATGACGTCAATTTGTTTTTTTTTTTGTTTTTTTTTACATATTTTCGGCGTCAGAACATGGTTTATCTTGCCTATTGTTTATAAACATGTTCACGCTCGGTTTATTACGAAGAAAAAATGGACTACGGGGTAAAAAAATGCACGTCTTGTGTATGACACTTGCTTTTGTGCCTTTCTGCTTCTTCTTGTTTACAATAATGATTCTATAGTGTTATAATATATAATTTTTAACAATCAATCTTAGAAATTCGTTTCGTTTTGGCTTTGTCGTGCGAGAATTATCTATGTCAATCGCGGGCGCTAAACTGATGGGCCCCAAAGGAGGTAAATACAATCGGAAAAGTAAAAAAAAAACTCATTGTGCAGAAATGCACAGGAATTGATACTTTGTCTGTACACATTAATAGATATTGCACTGTTTATTATGGATGTTATGTTTATCATAACGGTTGTTATTCTTACAGTAACACCAGTACACATAGAACGAATACCTCCAATTGGGCCCAACCTTGCCGTCAACAACAAACACACGTTGTCGATAGTAAATTCAAGCGAATGACACAACTATTTTCATACAACATTTATCAGATAACAATTAAGTAGTGTTGTTTATAACATATTCACGCGTCAAACACTGGATATTGGATTATAATTAATGACAGGCGGATACGTTGTAATTAAAGGGTTGACGTTATGCTAACCAGTCAAGCAGCAGCTTCGCAAATTCCGAATCCGTATTCAGTCCAAGATCCTCCTCCATCTTTCGCGATCTATCGCTCTCCTGTCTATTATAAATTCTTGCCTGTCCTTTTCTGGTCTGACTTCTTCCTCTATCGATTTCTAGCACTTTCTGCAAGGTAACTATTTGCGTACGCCATATTGCTTCTTTCTAGGCTTATACGCATGCGCAGCATCAGGGTTACGATCGGTAATGTATGAATTAGATCAGGACCGCAATGTTTACATTCTTTATTTTTTAGATATCAATAAAAATTGGTTGCGGTGACTTTTAATTTTAGTAATTAACAGAAAGTCTTAGTTTTGTAACATACTATTGGAAAATAGAACGCTTTCTATCGTTTTCTCGTAGTGTTTTTTTAACACTATAGTCGCTTTAATTGTTTGAACTTTGAAGTCAATGTTTACATTGGAAATTAAATTTTCAATCAGGTGATATTAAAATTCTGGTTTACTGGTCGTTAAAAGGGAAAACGGGTATTACACAAATTATACTTAATTCTAAACCAAACTACGAGAGAAAGAATACGCCTACTTGTCTTGGAATTTGCATTTCCATTTTTTTATTTTAAAAATGTAAATCAGTTAATTTTAGACATGACAAAACTACCTTACTATGTCAATATTTCCGAGATGTGGCTTCCATTGGCTACCAAAGCGATCTGACGAAATTTGCAAGTGATCTGTGGTTAAAAGTTCTTTATTTTTAATAATTAAACTGTCAGGCTACAGCCGATATAAAAACAGCAGTCTTTGATTTTGTTGACTCCTAATCAATATTTCGTGGGCGTTAGTTAGGCTGTTGATGAGTACAAAGTGTTTGTATCAACCGTTTTAATATCCGAAATTTCGGTGTTATTTTTAGAAGCTTCGTTTCTTTTAATAGTAAAATCACATATCAGGGACACTATTTATCGACTATTTTTTTCTTTCTTTTTTTTAAGAGTTCTCGAAATAATACTAAATGTATGGAAGGTAGTCTTGATAACATCAAAACCGAATACAGAAAGGTTCTGGTAAGATTATTTGTTTTAAGCGGAACGATGTAGTGTCGTTTACTTATTTACTCTGACTCTCACGGCAGGTTAATGATAAAATTTGGTTGTGTTTGTCACGTTGAAACCCGTGTTAAAACTGTAGTGTCATCACGATTTCTGTATCATGGTATATGAGAAGGTGAATTTAGCGCACTACTGCACGCGATAAAATCAATGATACCCAAACGGAGACTCGTTTGATCAGGATATAACTTTTTTTTATTTATGATATAAAAAAACTTTTATATGACGTTAGATACTGGAAGAACGCAATGCGTCAGACAAACAAACAAATCAATATCCTATATCACAAACAAAGGGCGGTAAAATTTTGATTTAATATTTGAAATTTGTTTACAATGTTAGAGAAAAACAGTGTTTTTTTCGCTAGGCTGAGAATGGTAGAATATGGTAAGAATATATACATTGGAAATAAAACAAACTCTAAAGAAATAAATTGAGTAAAGAAATTATCGAATGAATAAATAACATAAATATTTCGGTTGATCATGGAATTTTGTTTATACTGTTACCGATTTTTCAAAACAATTCATAAAGACAACCACAAATGAATGTTATTTTCAATACGTTCAGCCGACATTTTGTTTCTAAGTTAAAAAAATATATATATCCGTGTGACCTTACCTGTCTCAGGAATTTGAATCAAGTAATCAATCAATCCAGTGATGAATATTCCTGAGAGCAACAGTAAACAGCAGAAAATGAGGATAAGATATAACATCCACTGTTTATCACAACGTAACTTTACTTTTCCGTACAATTAAGATTGTTATATAGATAACAGCATTCCTAAAATAACATGATAGATCTCTGTGTAGTGACTAAATGTTTCATGAAGATGGTGAAAGATAATTTTGTCATATAAAACTAAAAATATATTGATGAGAAAAAGGGGAGATCCCCATAAATGTAACAAACTATACAGCGTCATTTATAGCTGGTTTGTGCCGAATAGATAAGCTATATGAAGTTGTATGAGGAATTCAGTTTGATCAAATACCAAACTGAATCTGCATATGTAACAGCTGGGTCGCTGGAACGTTTATCTTAGATCGGGCTGACGTATTCATACCGCTTGGTTTGTTATAAAATTATCTTGACATACAAATTATCATTAAAAGTCTCCAATTACCCAAATAACAATAATATATATTAATGTTTTGAAATGCATGCTGCAATAAAGTTGTTTGAGGAATAAAACTTTAACCCATCAGGATCAGAGCACGTCCTGGTCACAAGGCAATCGATAACCTACGTCACTTCCTGTAAATTAAAAATAGATTCCCGATGTGGGCTTATGGCATCGAAACTGTTTTGGATTTTATTTTATTCTGACTGAATGTTGATTAAATTTCCTGTAAAGTGACATAAGTGTGCATATTTCTGATCAGATAGGGCTCGCTTTCTGGCGGTACATATTTCATACAATCTACAAATTATTTCCAATTAAGTAACAAATCGCCTGTTTATTTTACTACTGACCACAGTCAGTCCATGTTTAGGGTTTATATGGCGGTGAGAGGGGAGGCCGTTCATTTTCCTCTTTATATGACGGAACACCCGCATATTATGTCGATCCAATGTTCCATTCGATGTGCGTACCATGATGTAATACAATGGTCATGTCTGAATTTGAAATGATAAATCAAAGGTTCGGATTACCCAATATGATGACAAATTTACCGGATATTGATCTCCGGCTTGGTATAACAATACCTGCTTCCCAACACTAATACCAATTTATATTCATGATATTCATACACTTGTTTACTTCATCCGGATAACAAACTTTTAATGACAGGGGATATATTGAGATGTCAGGAGAAAAAATCCAAAATGGCGGTACCTGTCTATCACAAGGACTCTGCATAATAAAAAAAAGAGAAAGTGGCGACATAGGTTTTGAAATAAGATAATCAATAACGGATAAGAGACTTAACGTTTCGGGCTTCACTGGTGTATATAGAATAATTAATGAATTCTAACGTGCAGTTGGGCAAAACGTAGGTATATTATGTACCCAAGGGGAGATATCGATTGTTAGTACTCGATTAGTGGATTCAAAGACTTAACAGAGCTTGTTATTAGAACGACACTGAAGTAGTACATTTAGTGTCATATTTATATTGAGTATTGTGTTTTAAACATTGATAGATATTATTGATTTTTATTGAATCTCTGAATGGTAACTTATTGGGATTATTCCAGATAAAACGTGATTGATTTGCCCAGGATAGTATTCACTTTTTTGTCTTTTGCACAATCTAGAAGATATCAGGTAGAACACACACTCTTGGTGGACTTCCAAAAATTTCGCCGTAACCTTCATGCCTCGTTTCAGTTCAATCGTATACTTGAAGTTCTCTGAAATTTTGGAATTACCGCACCTCCCCATCGGTGTTATCACATTTACTTCTCATCGATTTTTGTTTTTCTCAGTCGCCTAGGACCTTTGGCATCTCGACAAAAATCTGTATCGTGCTATTTAATACACAATGTGGCTAAACTATTTATAATTCTTTATCTGTATTGTGTTATTCACCTTTGTGACCTTTTGTACAATTTCCAAAGATAGAAGATGCTATATAAACTTTATTTATTTTACAACAATTGTGAAACAATTTATTTCTACTTATACTAATCACTCCTGTTGGCACTTGTAAGTGTGAAAGGAAACCGGTGTCCCCGGCGTCTCCGGAAAAACCCAAGTAGTCGGGACCCTTACCTTTTCACGTCCGTTCCAGGAGTCGAACCCCGGACGGCTTCGTGATAGGCGAGTGCGTTACCACTGCGCCACCCGACCACCCGTAGATATGATAAAGCGCTACGTTATCATTATCAAACTATCATATATAGGCTTCATTGGTCTTTTACTGAAATTTTACATGTAATTAGTGCTTAATATCACTAATTAATGATAGTTCCCTACCTTAAGATACTTGCATATTAAAGAAGCAAGGTAACATTAAACATTGCTATTTCCACTACGGGCAAAGAACGTTTTACTTCACTTTTATATATGGTTTATGGTGAATGAATACGCTTCGAGGAGTGAATTGTGCATAGTTTCATACACAGTCAACAATGAAAAAATACTGGCATGTCAACAAAACAGAATTAAAAACGATACGAAAAAAATTAGTCTTTGTTAAGCGTAAAATTAACACAAGGTCATCGTCATAGAATAATATGAATTATCGACTTTTCCCATAATTTCTCTTTGCAGGGTACGGCCATATAGCTCCAAAGACGTTCTGGGGAAGGCTGGTGTGCATAGCGTATGCGGTGCTGGGTATTCCATTGATGTTGCTTTGTCTTGCTAACATTGGGGACGCATTGGCGGATGTATTCCGTTTTATATATGCGAAGATATTTTGCTGTGGTTGGTGCAGAAAGAAAGAAAAGCCCAACAAAGTCGTCAAGATCAAACCTACGGAAAGCGAGCCTCCCAACTGGAGCGAGAAATCGCGCATTGTCAAGAACCCACCAAACCTGCACTCAGAACCTCAGAGCATCAAGGACAATCTAGATAAGGTTGACGATCAATGTGACAACAATGTCAAGGTCGTTCCGATGAATATGAAGAACGCCAGTGCAAGAGTTCAACAAAGTCCCCCACCAAAACAGTCCAATTATGAAAGCGATTCTGACGATGACGACGATGATGACGATGACATCGATAGTAACATCACAATTCCTCTGACTGTGACCATGGTCGTAATAGGAACCTACATTTTGGGCGGTGCCGTGTTGTTTGGACTGTGGGAAGGGTGGGATACTCTCCAATCATCCTACTTCTGCTTTATCACACTCAGCACCATCGGCTTTGGTGACGTAGTTCCGGGAACAGATTTCGACAATCCGAGAGCGCATGCTCAGCTTGTTCTTGGCGCTATATACGTCATGTTCGGAATGGCTATTCTTTCCATGTGCTTCACACTGATGCAAGACGAGATTATCTCCAAATGCAAATGGATTGGACAAAAGCTTGGCCTGATCGATAAAGATGAGGATGCTGACTGAGATCTACTACTGTACAGCGAACAAGTGTGAATCCTTGTGTCCCTCTAGTCAACATCAAAGTGCCATTCGTCATATCCTTGACAAATATTTTGGACTTTCTGTTTAAGCCTCAAAACTCACGACTCTATCTATTGCAAATCAGAAGTATTGTTGTAGTGAAATCTGTTACAGATAGATCTTCTACATTTATTCGTTACCGCTAATCATGCACTCTAGTATTTTTCAGTAGGATATTTTCGAACCTAACATAATAAAATGTATACGACTCTCAACAGAAAAAATGACGCAGACATGTCAGAATGATTAGAATAGTTTCAACATGATAAACTGTAAAAAAAACATTCATCAATGAATACAAACACACTGCAATCGTTCATGGACAAAAAATCATTGAAATATAAAATATTTTAAGAACTAAGTAAAATTTGTGAAAATTGAATTATTTTAAGAGCATGATTAGTTACCTACTACCGTCATACAAAGCTAGCGTCGTATGGAAATATATCCAGCAGTGTTAATTTGGTAACGTTTCATTACAGTCTAGTATTAAAGACTTGTGACATGGAAATTTATATATGCTGGTAAATGACTTGGTTATTTTATAAACACATGTGGTACTTGTATCTGTGTGTTAAATGTCACAATATTTTGTAATATTTATCACAATTACTGCTGACCTTAACGGTATAATTATTTCTCAAGATGTATGTTAATATACTGCTTTATATGTACATGGGAGAATTTCTTAATTTAGTTTCTTGTCGTTGGCCTGTAAGTTTATATTTTTGCATTGTTTTATTCTTCGGACAAAATTCAAATTTTAGATAATATTTGACTATATGTATATTTTTGCATATTATACGATTTTTAAAAAAAATAGTATGAATTTGACATCGGTTCAATATTTTGTGAACATGCTACTAAGTAGAGTATGGTCTTTGTCCTCGTTTTCTTGCAGACAGTATGATATGATTTTATTAATGACGATTGCTATTACGCTGTTCGTAGAAATCTGATATTTTTCGTCGTGATAAATGGCTAGATGGGATATTTAATTCAAAACGATTTAAAACAAAAAATAGTAGCTTATGTTAAAATTATAGATGTATTTTATGTATTTAAGTGCATGCCAGTGAAAAATAGTGATTAATACATAAATACTTTTATTTGATAAATCTTTTTTTAATGCACAGAAATAAATATGTGAAAGAGAAAAATAATCACGTTGATCATATATGGTATTTTTCCACCACGTAAAAATGCATAAGTACATTTAAAACCAGAAAGAAAAGTAAAGAAGTCAAGCAAAATTACTGATCTAAAAATTACTTAATCCTTTTTCGTATGTAAATATTTTATACTTTGTAGAATGTGTACAGTGCTTTGTATATAAAAGGCGACGATGTAATTATTACGACTGATGCTAAGGGTTTCCTAGATTTCGTTGTTAGTCTTGTTTTGTACTCAACATTTTCGATTTGGCATTATTCAATATTGTGTATATTTTGTCTCATACTAAGTTAAATGTTGTTTTTGATTTATTCAGTCCGTTGAAAACACATCTTGAATGTCAAACCGTAACTTTTACTAAGAAATTTCATTTTTACACATACAACTGTACAAGAAGGTATCATTGAACGTGAGAAATAAATAATAATAAAACATCTCCGACATTATTCACGCTATATCGATCGCTTTCCACTTTTTGTATTAACCAAAAGAAAAGTAAATTGTTATTTGTCAATTCGTTTAATGAGTGATCGGATAATTTTTTGTTTTTAAGCGTGCGTTTTATCTTTTAAGATGAATACCTTCAAAACAATAGCCTGTTTTAACTGTTCAAACAACAACAAAAAAACAGCGAGAAAACGGCGAGAACAAATAAAGTGTTGTTGATCTACTGTCATTCGATTGAGTTATCTAGGAACGATATACGGTTAGCAAAATCAGAAAAATTAACGTAGATTTATTCTTTTTAATGTCTAAATATCCCTGTTTTCTTGGGAAACATTCATGCGAAAAATAGATATTATAAACTTAGGATCGACTACTCTTTACATTTACAGTGTTGAATATTTACTTTCTGATTGTCGACTACTAAGTGTTTTACTTTTAGTGTGAAAGAATTTAATGATCATACGAACAATGGAGTTAAATAGAAAAAAGATGACTTATAATACAATATTTTAATTATACGTGTGTTGTATTGAACAATCCTTTTACAGCCACTGAGCCTATTTAGCGAGCACGTGCAAAAAATAATCAGGCAAATAAACAGTACAGTGAAAGATCTCATTAATATGTAATATTACTTATATTTTTTCTTAATTTTGTAAATTAGCTTTTTTTATTAAAAATCTTACTATGTTATCCGTCCAAGAGAGTGAAAATTACAACACTTTTTACATTGTATATCCCGTATAGTGGCGACATGTTTGCGAAATCTTAAAATTCTGTCTTATTTCACTTAGCATGTAATTCAATTCAGATTATTGGTCGAAGTACAAATTTAAACATTAATATCTTATCGAAGTTCCGAAAATATTTCAAAATTACGCTTTTGATACAAATTTTCTGAATCAAATCTGGATCTTATCATTTGTTTGAAAAGCTACAAAATTCGAGCATGATACTAATAAGTTGACCGGAATATCCACACCAGATGTTTAGAATCAATAAACCTAAAAAAGTAATGATTGATTACTAACTGTCTCGCTATACGGTATAAATCTATACTAAGTATGATGTACTAACGTATATTTCGCTATACGGTATACAGCAAAACCTCGTTACAATGCCCAAAACTGTCAAACAGTGAGTTGTCGTGATGGAAAGTGAAGAGAAATATCTAGATGTCAAAATAACTCCTCGAGACATTGGAAAATCGTCGATATGAAAGTAAAATAACGGTGGTATTGTAGCGAGGTATTTCTGTATCGAACATTTTTTATATAATTGCTGATGATCGCGTGATCTGTGATATTATATGTTCTATTATCTGTGTTGAAATAAAACGTGTTAAAGTAGATAACCGATATGTTAGCTTTTATTTAATGATATACGTATTCATTCTATATATCTTCTTATCTCTCTCTCTTCCCCCCTCTCTATCTCTCTCTAACAAACCGACGATGATTTCCACACCACCTGTTGGTCCCTAGGATCACCCTACAACCCGACGATGAGTTCCACACCACCTGTTGGCCCCTAGGATTATCCGGATGATACAGTTGTATGATGTGGCTTGGTTATATACTGTATGTACATATGTTGTTTACATCTCTGTGTGTGCTTTCCACACCGAAGAAGAGTGTTTTCGCATGTAAACTTTCTAGTCAATCGTTTTATCTACATGCATTTAGGCCTGGTTCTTGGTACGATCCACAACACCACGAGAGGTGTGCCGACGACGGTCGATCAAATCCAAGCTTAAAACAGTCAAGCTTGTTCCACCGTGTACCATTGCTGTCTATGTCGTTTGTCATTGAACTAGTTCTCTGGTGTTTGATGTTGTTAATCCTGTTTTGTGATGTCTGATGTTATTGACCCCATTCTGTGATGTCTGATGTTGTTGACCCCGTTATGTGATGTCTGATGTTGTTGACCCCGTTATGTGATGTTTGATGTTGTTGACCCCGTTCTGTGATGTCTGATGTTGTTGACCCCGTTATGTGATGTCTGATGTTGTTGACCCCGTTATGTGATGTTTGATGTTGTTGACCCCGTTCTGTGATGTCTGATGTTGTTGACCCCGATCTGTGATGTCTGATGTTGTTGACCCCGATCTGTGATGTCTGATGTTGATGACCCCATTCTGTGATGTCTGATGTTGTCGACCCCTTTCTGTGATGTTTGATGTTGTTGACCCCGTTCTGTGATGTCTGATGTTGTTGACCTCTTTCTGTGATGTTTGATGTTGTTGACCCCGTTCTGTGATGTCTGATGTTGTTGACCCCGATCTGTGAGGTTTGATGTTGTTGACCCCTTCCTGTGATGTTTGATGTTGTTGACCCCTTTCTGTGATGTTTGATGTTGTTGACCCCGTTCTATGATGTCTGATGTTGTTGACCTCTTTCTGTGATGTCTGATGTTGTTGACCCCCATCTGTAATGTCTGATGTTGTTGACCCCGTTCTGTGATGTTTGGTGTTGTTGACCCCGTTTCTCGGAACTCCTCTTTCCATTTCCTCTTGCGGATACAATATTAACGAAGCTGGAATGTTTTGACACCTTATCTAGTTTCTTCCTCCACATTTCCAGTGTTTCTGACTGGACAGAACACGTCCCAATTACGAACTACAGGCCACTTCAGCCAGCTTCATTTTTTATACCTGCTGTTTTCACCGTTTTCTGTTCCTCTCATATAGCCCTCACTTCTTTTCATGCTCTTTCCTTTGAGCTGTCTCTGCCTAGGCCCACTCTTGTCCTTTTGGTGTCCCAGGTCCTTGTTTACCGGCTGCTACACTTCTCACGATGTCCCCACGACGAAGTTTCAATTTTTAATTTTTGGTGCCCAGTCAGCTTTCAACTTCCTTCCGGATTTAACATTCATCTTTGCGTTCCTCGCCTTCTTGTCTTTGCTGTTCTAGACAAAGAAAAGTTGCATGACCTTATTTTAGCGAATTAATGTATATGCAGCTTGGTGCCGTCTCCTTACATCCTGATGCTGTTTTAGTTTTTTTTCTGATCCCTTTCATATGTATAGGAAAACAAGTCACTACACGTTCCGTCTTTTCTACAGGTAAAATTGTACATCATAGACCAGAACTGGTAAAAGTTTACGTGTGAGCACACCTTGCTGGTGTAACCACGATTAAAAAACCTCCTTGGTTTGTATTTTTAATTCAAAGACGCATGACGAATTTTACCAATAGTGATAAAGCATCGTAATAATATCATGAAAAAGATACGCAATCATCGGCTTCCGTAGATTTTTCACCTGCATGTACTCACCATGTACCTGTGGTTTCACTCGAGCAAAACCGAGCTGTTAGTGAGACCGACTGTTGGACATACTTGTGTTTGAAGAGTCATGCATGTATATCGAGCATCGTTACTGCAGATCAGAACACTATTTAAAATTTCGAATTATAAACCAGTATACGCTAAAACAAATGTAGTTTATGGTTCGGTGGACATGCATCTACATCCGTATTACTTACATAAATGGTTACTAACGAAAGACAAAAAGAACACTTACCTCAGTTAGAGGAGGTTGACTCGTAATAAAATCAGGCAAAAATTAAGCCAGAAGTGAGTGAATAGGTAAACACATACTGGTAATAGTTGTGGTCCTCTCTCCTTTACGTCGCTTATGCACTCACAGACACGTGACGCGATCGAACTTAATAAACGGTGGGTGCACGGAACCACGGTCACGATGACTTATTTTTGTGGAACAGGCTACATCAAACAGTTTCGTTTTGTTTTGATCACAGATGATTATCCATACCGGCATATGGAAAGATTTTCGTATCGTGAATGTCACCTAATCTACTTATAGATTCAAGATTTTTTATGACACACATACGCATGTAACAAGAGGTCATACAATATTTAAATCAGACATAACAGGGAGATTAGATAGTACACATTAAAGTTCAACATAATCTCATATATTCAGTATCATTTCATGGGCAAATTTAGTAGTATTTTATGGACAGATTAAGTATTATTTCATGGACAAATTCAGCAATAAAATTTAAACAGATTCAGTAATATCAAGGACAGATTGAGCAATATTTCATAGAAAGATTCAATAGTATTTCATGGACAGATTCTGTGTTATCATGGACACAATCAGAATTATCATGGACACAGTCATTATTTACATGAGTAAATTTAACATTAACTATAATGAAATCATCATCATCACATATGACATCATCATCATCAACAACACCATCATCATCATCATCATCATCATCATCATCATCATCATCATCATCATCATCATCATCACATATGACATCATCATCATCAACAACACCATCATCATCATCATCATCATCATCATCATCATCGTCACCATCATCATCTTCGTCGTCGTCAATAATAATGATTATTAATATTTGTTTACATCAAGTTATCACCAATTTCTATATCTACAGCGTATGGTATTTTGCTACTTTACTTTCGCTTATTTCTTTAAAATAACATTTTTAGTTACTCTTTTATTACATATTGTAAACATTCCTTTCATTTTATCAATATTTGGGTTTGTGTAATAATATTTTGAGATAAGTTTTTCTCTAATCTGGCGTATGGATTCTTTTTGACATTTATACAAATAATGAAATAAAACAAAGATTTTCTCTACTATCAATTAAACAAATTAATTTATTGTTGACTGAACATCTGATAATATTTTCAGACTCATTCCACTTTTTCTGTAAAAAATTTCAATCAACTATGTCTATTATTATTTTTTACTGTGTAACGAGATAGTTTTATCACAGCATCCAATCTAATAAGAACATATTATAACAAAAAAACGGAGAACTCTATAACAGAAATGCATATGTGTACAGTCACTTAGCGGAGAAATTTTAAAGTTTTAATCTCTTGAATCTGAATGGAAGATGTTTGGAAACTGGTTTCTTATGATATAGAATGTGGTCGATTAAGGTAGAGTGTCCTATCCATCGGAATTTTATTTCTTGTAGTTCATTTTAGGAACCGTGACTTCTTTAAAAAAAATCATTTTTAAGGTGTTATAAGTCGTTACTGTAAGCAGTTTTCTATCGTTTGTTCTCTTAAAATTTTCTATAATGATTGCATTTAAAAAGTTCAAATTAAAGTTATGGAAATAATTAAACATGGAACTTATGAAGATACTCACTACCTGTTCATCCCTTTTTTAAATATGAAGTTATTTATTTTTCAGATGGCAGAAAAACTAACCTTGCGTACCATTATAAAACAGAAAACCAGCGCGGCATTCAACCGTGAGCTTATTTGTGTATGGTCTACTAAATGCCTCGAATTTGTCATTGAATATTTAATTACCATGCATTTAACGGGTTTTACGTCCTATAACGGCCTTTTGGCGAGTATATATCGAATTTGTCATTTACATAGTATCGCGTAAGTAACACATAATTGATCGGAGCCTCTTTTAATAGGTTAATGCATTACCCGCCAATCTATTTAATAGTATAATAGTTGATATCAAAAAATCTCCACAACAATCTCTATTTTCTATCAACTCTCCACATTGCATGACAATTCTAATTGTAGTAGATTTAAGCGTAGTAGATAGTGTTGATTAATTTTGTCCATACACGCTCTCCAGCTATTTATTTAATGATATAAATTAGTCAACAAAAAACATCATTCTAAATCGTGAAATGTTATGTGTATAATATTAAATCCCACGAATCAAACATAAAAAAAACAGCAGCAGTACCTGAGGAGACAAACAACACTAACAGGAAACAGAACCTCACCACCACCCGTGGTAGCCATCAACAGGAATCCTGGTAAACAATAACAGTGTCGGCCAGAATCGAATTCAAACTCATCACATCACAAAAAACCACTGAAATCCTGTAGTTAGAAGTCAGATGTATCATGTATTTTAATGATGAATATTTTATTTGTTTACAAACCGAAAACTCATACATGTAACATAATGGCAATTAGGACAGGTACGAGCCCATCGGGAACCGACTACGGAATAGAGGTTCGAACTGAGAAAGTGAAAAGTGATATCGTGCTTATCAACAGCGGTAACGCCCCGCCTTCCACCTAGATACCGGGTTCGATTCCCGGAACAAATGTGAAAAGGTAAGGGGTCACCTATCCTACCACGTGGTATCAATATTACAAGGCATTGTTGTATATTGTTAAAATACTGGTTCAAGCCACTCGAAGACAAAGATACATGTAGATAGAACATTCACACTCCATGTATCAGGAAATATCATTTCATCTTATGAAACTGTATTGAACTGCCTCGTCGCGCAAGCTGATTGTTACCGAGTAAAAGTGTGTTGTTGTTATAGCACCGATGTTGTCAGTAAAACTTGTCAAGCTTTCCTTTCATCAGAACCTGATAGAAAAGTTTAATCTAAATTGATTGAATGAACAGGGTTAACAGTGACCTTGACCTCTGAACAACAACCGTGACCTTGTACGCATGGTTAAAAAGAACAGTAAAACTGTATTTATCAATTAATATTGTTTCAGTATCTCTAAGACCCTGACCCTTGACCAGTTAAACAGTCAGAATAAGCTTGTAATACAATATCTCTACTTCGTACTGTGGCCGAAAAATAATAAAGCTAACAAAGCGTCGTTCTTCAGAAATGTACCTCAATTGTGTTTATGTGCCTCAGTTAAATTTATATACCTCAATTAAGTTTATGTACCTCAATCAAGTTTATGTACCTCAATTATGTTTATATACCTCAATTAAGTTTATATACCTCAATCAAGTTTATGTACCTCAATTATGTTTATGTACCTCAATTAAGTTTATGTACCTCAATTATGTTTATGTACCTCACTTAAGTTATGTACCTCAATTAAGTTTATGTACCTCAATTATGTTTATGTACCTCACTTAAGTTTATGTACCTCAATTAAATTTATGTACCTCAATTAAGTTTATGTACCTTACTTAAGAAGATCAGAACCTCTGTTGATAAAAAATCCTTTTCACCGAATAATTCTTTACATCGAATGCGAATTTTAGAAAATCTGAACAGCCAGAAGAATTTAATGATGACCTCAGAATTTCTTTCTTTTATAGAACCTGACCTCTGTCTCCAGGAGTCGGACAGGCGTTACACGGATAAGGAGAACCTAAGTCTTTCACTGTTGTGTTCCGACATGCTGTCCGATCGGACCCATTCTATCAGGATTCATCAAATGATGAAAAAAGAAAAATGAAAAAAAATCAAGAAATAACAGAAGTAGAAATCCCCGAGGTATCATATTAACATTTTGTCGCGTTTCCATCAACTCGACACTAAATACATCTAAATGCACTACGCCATACAGCACACACGTCACGACACAATGTTTGTGTTCGGTTTTGTAATACTGCGATGAACGATAACACTATCAATCAGAGTGTCGATAACGGCTATTAGCTACAAAATGGACTGTGTGTATTAACGTTATTTAGCTTGAAATATAATGCAGATCAAAAGGTAAAAACATGGTGTCGGTTAAATCT